CGTTGAAATCCTAACCTCTGACATGATGGTATCTGGAGTTGCGACCTTTGAGAATAATTTATGTCAGATAGGGGAAGCACCGGTCAGTGAGGTCAGTGTCCTTATAAATAGGAGAATCGAATGTTCTAGCCCTCTTTCTACTAGGTGAAGGGACAAGAACATGACAGTTTACAACCCAGAAAAAGTCCCTCACCCAGACCCAACTATGTTGACATCCTGCTGTCAGACTTCTAGGTTTCAGAACTGTGAGAAATGTTTGTTGTTCATAGCCCATTGAATTTGTGGTATTTGTTAAAAGCAGTCTCAACAGAGTAAGACACTCCTTACTCTGGGAGGAGATGAAACAACCAACTGCTGGTCTTTCTTCTCCAGGTCGAAAATTTCTCATCCATAAAATAGGTTGAATACCTTCCCTCTGGCAGACTGAGAAAGGTTCTGGGATTTATCTGGGGATCATGCAATGGAGATGGGACACCATAGAGAACTCTTAATGTGAGAATCTGTAAATGGCTGTGGGAACTAGAAACTACTGGTATATCTTATGTGTATTTTGACCAGGTGCTGAGAAATTTTTAACTGGTAAAGATACCAAAGCCTTTCCTCTAGATTTTAAGCCAGAGGTTACAAAGAAGGAACCCTTATATTTTGTTTGGCTAGCAGGATAGTTTTTAAAAATTGATCCAACATTTACAATTTGTGAAGACCCAGATTTGGCGTCTCTTGAAAGAGTCTGGACTATTTGATAGCACTGGACCCACAGCAGTAATTAGCTAGATGTCTGTCGCAGCTGTACTGTTTAGATGGGGCACCTGCTCTCTAGCTTGATCATCTCACCACTTCCATTAGGGTGACCATATAACTTGTCCAAACTAGGGCACATCTGAGAATGAGGGGCAGGAGTGTCATTAGTAATCACACCAGGACCACAGGCGTAACCAGTACTGTTATGGCATGATACATGAGAACCTAGGGATTGCTTACACCAATCTTGTTTTATTCTTTGCCCATTGTTTGGGATTTATGGTCATAAACCTGAGAATCAAATGTAGAAAAATAGAGAGCCAATGTGTACAATAAGAAAGCGATATGAAGGTGGAAAGGAAGATATTAAAAGGTTTATTAATGAATGCCAATTACACCAAACCTTTAGGTAAAGGCAGAGCCTTGCAGGTGGCTGCCTCAGCATGTGAGTTTAACCTTCCAGGCTCCCTGCTCTACACAGCACTGTCAGTTTTAATAAGCCATAAGCCCATAAGTACAAGCAAGCCTAATCAAACTGCAGAGAGCAGCCTGCCTCTAATCAGGAAGGCACAGGATAATCATTTAACTCTATGGTTTCTTGCTTAGCTGCCTCTATAGAGAAAATAATTAAAAATCCCTGATAAGATAGGTGCTTCACAATCTAGCCTTGACCCTCTGATGACCTTTGTTTGAAATTTTTATTAAAATGTCTTAATTATACAATTTCTTGGCTTTTAAAGATATTTCCCCTTGATTCTAAATAACAAAATATCCCTTCCCCAAGATATGTGAGGTACCACAGACTCATCGATTACCGGAGTTTTTCATAGTACTCAAAATGCTCAAACTCTTTCAACACTATTCAGGGTATGGTTAGCTCCCAGCTGGGTTGGGGAGCGGGGATTAGGGTCATGGACTGACAATGGTGAGCATCTACAGGTGCCAGCATGGTGCTGCATACTATATGAGCCAGTGTCAGCTGTTCCCTAGCACAGCATCAGCCCTCTCTGTTGACTGTGATGCAGTAACTTAACTCGAGCAAGAACCTCCTAGTAGATTGGTAATGTTCCCAGCATTTCTGTGCATGAGCCAGCAAAACTGAGGACAAAAGACCAACTCTGGATGTGGGTGTTACCAAGAGGCCTGATTCTAGACAGAATAAAAGAGGAAGTAAGGAAATGTGACCCTCATTTTGAGGGAAGAGCACCAATCTTCACCACTGCCTACAGACACTGGTCCACAGTTTCTCTAGCTTTCCAGTGCAGACTGCCTTGAGTTACCCTACAGTGATTCCATGCCTTTGACCTTCAGCTGCTACTGGGTTCTCTGCTCTCCCATGTAGACATCCAGTTTTGATACACCTCTGATCCTATTAGCCAACCTAATAAATCTCTTCATATAATTGTCCATGTATTTTATATTTGATTACATTTTATCTTTTTTTTTTTTTTTTGGCGGAACCCAGGATTGAACTCAGGCCCTTGCACTTGCCAGGGAAGCGCTTATTCTATTGAGCCATCTCCCCGGCCCTGATTACATTTTAACACCCTCTACAGTCAGCCTTTGATTTTCTCTGCCCCTTCAATCCAGGAGCAAGTCAAAATAAGTAAGAATCTACTTAGTTCAAAGACTAACTTGTTGAGTTTTATTCAGATGGAGCTATAGTCTAACCTAGGACCTGAGAAGGGCTAGATAAACCCTTAGGCAACATATTCCACTTTTCTAAACTTTTTGGTAGACCTTCAGGGAAACTAACCCAGACTTACTGAAACTTGTTCTTAATGTAAGAATAACAGTATTAATACCTCACAATCATGCTCTAAGGGTCAATGATATGTGTGGAAAGCAATTTACTAAGTTGGCTAGAACATTAACATGTTTCAGAAATTATGAATATTACTTTTATTATGTATAAGCACGCCTTACAGTTGCTACTTATACAACTTGGGACAGGTAAGGGAATCTTCATAATATATATCTTTAAATATCTCTACTATGGATTCTGCATGTAGTGTAAACATTGTTAAAATAAGGACTACACATTGTTGTTTTGGTTTTTTTTTTTAATAGTATCTTGTGCTTGCCAGGCAGGCACTTGTGCTGCTGAGCTATATTCCCTGTCCTGTATTTTTTAAAAATATTTTTTTCCAATAAAAAAATCTCTAGAACATTCTTAGTACCATGGAAATTTAATATTTTGTTTAACAGACTTACATTTACAGAAAGCAATATACAGTGATTTTTAAAATTAAAACTGTTTATTGGTTATTATCTTTAATAGATTCATTGCATTTAAAAACATCTTTCAAATGTGCTAATAAGAAAAAGAACCAGGAAAGTAAACAACACTGAACAGAATTTCAACATTTTGGTATTTTGGACATAAATAAAACACAATCTTTTATGGGCTCTGGAATATATACTGATATTTCTTCAATAACGGGTTTTAGCATTGAACAAGAATATGAACACGAACACAAAACAATACATTTTAGGACAACCAGATCCTTGAGAACAGAAACTCTGATTTCCACTGTGATTCATGCCAAAATTATATACTGAAGAGAAACAAAGATGGGCTTCTAACACATAAAAATACAACAGGCATAGAGTAACTAGAAACAATGTTTAGCAATGCCCACTAAATTTTGAAAAGCAGCAAAATATAACGGGAGTATAAAACAGATGTATTTCTTACACATATTTTAAAAAGGGGGCATCATTTTGGTTTTGTTGTTATTTTTATAAAAACTACATATTCCCTATTTAATAGTTGACAAATATAAAAGTACAAAGAAAATAAAAATTCCCTGCCATACTATCAACAAAAATGTCACTCCTTTGGTAACAGCAGAACAATATATGATCAACGGTGACCCTAGAAAGAATGCTCAGGCTCAGGAC